ATCACCTCACATGCATGGAAAATGAATAAGGAAGACCAAAGAAGAGTTGATGATTTTGAGTTGTGGTGTTGGTGAGGAATACTGAAAGTACCATGGACTGCTAAAAGAATGGACAAATCTGTCCTGGATGAAGAGCAGCCGGAATGCTCCTTGGAAGTGAGAATGGCCAAACTTCTCACCTATTTTGGTCATGTTGTCAGAAGGGACCATTCCCTGGAGAATGATATCATGCCTGGTAAAGTGGAGGGTCAATGAAAAATGGTAAGGCCCTCAACAAGATGGATTGACACTGTGACTGTAACTATGGGCTCAGGTATAGCAAGGTTGTGAGTCTGGCACAGGATTGTGCAGTGTTTAGTTCTGTTGTGTATAGGGTTGGTATGAATCCCAGACGACTTGAAGGCACCTACCAACAACATCAACAAATTGTCTATTTACTATTTTAATAAAGTCTTTTGATAAGCATAAATTAATTGATTTTAAAGAGGTTCCATTTATCTATTTTGTCTTCTATTTGCATATTTATTGTTTATAATCCTATTTTTACAAAAGATTAGGTCCCAAGGTTTTCCCCCAAGAATTATATGGTTTTTAGGTTTAACATTGGGAGCTCTGGTAGCATAATGCCTAAGGCACTTGACTGCTAACCAGAAGGCTGGCTGTTCAAACACACCAGCCACTCCTCAGAAGGAAGGTTGGGCAATCTACTTCCATAGTGATACTGCCTCAGAAACCCAAGGAGGGGTTACTATGAGTTAGGTCTGACTCAACGGCACACAACAACAACAAGGTTTAACATTTAGGTCTTTGATTCATGTTGGGTTAGTTTTTGTATATGGTCCTGTTTCATTTTTTGCAAGTGGATATCCAGTTTTGCCAGCACTGTTTCTTAAATACTATTCCTGCCCTACTGAACTGGCTTTATTTCCTTCTTGAAAAGCAGTTGTCCATAGATGGCTCTGATTAATTCTGGGTGATGAATTCTATTCCATTGGTCTATGTATCTATCATTGAACCAATACCAGGCTGTTTTGATTACAGTGACTGTATAGTAAGTTTTCCTATCCCTGAGATATTTGTTTTTCTTCTTTTTTTCCAATGTGGCTTTAGCTATTTGGGGTTTCTTTCTTTTACATATGAAATTGGTCAATAGTTTTTCCATTTCTAGAAAGGATGTTGTGATTTGTATCAGACTGCACTGAATCTGTAGGTTTAGGTAGGACTGGTCTTTTCACCATATTGTCTTTCAATCCATGAGTATGAGATGTCTTTACATTCTTGAAGGTCTCTTTTAGTCTCTTGTAGTTGTGTTTTATTTTTTACATTGTATAAGTCTTTGATATCTCTGGTTAGGTTAATTACTAGTTATTTTATTGACTTGTGGGTATTGTAAAGTAAGGCATTTGGCTGCTAAGCAGAAGGTCAGCAGTTCAAATACACAAGTCTTTCCACAGCAGGAAGATGAGCCAATATACTTCCATAAAGATTTACAGCCTTGGAAACCCTGTGGGGGTTGCCATGAGTCAGAGTGGACTCGATGGCAGTTGGGTTTTTTTTTTTTTTTATAAATGAAATTGTTCTCTTGATTTCGTTTTTGGAGTAGTCTTTGTTAGCATAGAAGAACTCAACTGATTTTGGGGTGATCTTGTACCCTGCAACATTGCTAAATTTTTCTATTAGATTCAGCAGTTTTCTTGTGAAATCTTTAGGTTCTTCTATGTATAGGAAGGATCATGTCATCTTCAAATAGGGATAATTTTACTTCTTCCTTTCTGATTTGGATACTTTTTATTTCTCTTTCTTATTTCTCTGGCTAGGACTTCCAGTATAATCTTGAATAAGAGTGGTGATAATGGACATCCTAAGGAGCTCTGGTAGCATAGTGCCTAAGGCACTTGACTGTTAACCAGAAGGCTGGTGGTTGAAACCCACCAGCCACTCCTCAGAAGGAAGGCTGGGCAATCTACTTCTGGAGTGATACCACCTTGGAAACCCAAGGAGGGGTTGCTAAGAGTCAGTGCTGACTCAATAGCACATAACAACAACAACAGGCATCCTTGTCTCATTCCTGTTCTCAAATGGAAGACTATAGCCTTGCTCCATTGGGCATAATGTTAGCTATTGGTATTGTATATATGCCCTTAATTATGCTGAGAAATTTCCCTTCTATTTCTTTTTTACTGAGCTTTTAAACAGGAAAGAGTGTTGACTTTTATCAAATGCCTTTTCTACATAGGCTGATATTATCACATCATTATTTTCCTTTGTATTATTTATATATTAGACTACATTGATTGATTTTATTGTTGTCATGATTCTTCTGGGATTCCAAAAATTCTAATGTTAAATTTCTTAATTGAATTTCATATTTCCTTTTGGGTGTGTTTTCTTTGTACTTTTCATTTGTTTCTCTTGAGACGTGGTAAGTTCAGCTATTCTGTCTTCTAGCTCACTTATTCTATATTCTGACAGTTCGATTCTACTGTTGAGTGTTTCTCTTGCTTTTCCTAATTAGGATGTTTTATTCTTCAGTTCTAGTTGTTGTTATGTGCCATCAAGATGGACCTGACTCATAGCAACCCCTCCTTGGATTTCCAAGGCAGTATCACTAAGGAAGTAGATTGCCCAACCTTCCTTCCAAGGAGTGGCTGGTGGATTTGAACTGCTAATCTTCTGGTTAGCAGTCAAGTGCCTTAGGCTTCTAGTAGTTCTTTTTTTTTTTTTTTTTTTTCCTGATGTTTTCAATTCCTTTGTTAAGTCTCTCATTTTGTTCCTCCTCTGGTGGCCTAGTGCCCAAGGCACTTGACTGCTAACCAGAAAGCTGGCGGTTGAAACCCACAAGCCACTCCTCAGAAGGAAGGCTGGGCAATCTACTTCCATAGTGATATTGCCTCAGAAACCCAAGGAGGGGTTGCTATGAGTTGGATATGACTCAATGGCAGTGAGGTTTTTTTTCTCCCCCCTAAACTCTTGTTTTGGAGTTTTGCTTTCTTTAAACATGTTTAGTACAATAATATGAAAATTACCAATTTTCAATGCTTTGGCTTCCAATGGAGAGATTTCTTCTCCACGTTTTACATTTGATTATTCCTTCTTCTCTTGGGATTCCATGTGTTTTACTAACTCTTGTTGAACTTAGGCTATTTTGTTATCTTTTTTAAATTACTGTTTTCTTCATGTTTTGTATTCTGCTTATTATGGGAGAATTTTCTGATTGTATTCCCTAATGGCACAGCAGCCAAGTACCCATCTGCCAACCAAAAGTCTGGGGCCTGTACCCACCAGCCATTCTGTTGGAGAAAGATGCAGCAGCCTACCTCTGCAAAGACTCAGCCCTGAGAACCCATGCGGCAGCTCCCCACAGTGCTGCAAGTTCACCATGCTACAGAATGAACCAGTGGAATCAGGCTTGCTATCTTCTCTTAAGAACTACTCTCACTAAACCAAACTCACCGTCATTGAGTCATTTCCAACTCATAGTGACCTCTCCTTGGATTTCCAAGGTGGTATCTTTTTGGAAGTAGATTGCCCAATCTTCTTTCTGAGGAGTGGCTGGTGGATTTGAACTGCCAGCCTTCTGGTTAGCGGTCAAATACCTTAGGCCTTAGGCACTATGCTACCAGAGCTCCCCTAGATGACAATATATCTTAGATTTTATTCAGTGCTGGTTCAGGAATTCTGTATACTTGGTCTCTGTGATTCAAAATGCATGTGCAACAGTAGACGGTGTGGTTAGTTGTTTAGAAATGTTGTCAAAGTTGTGGGACTCAACTTTCTGTGGCAACGGTCCTGGGCTCTTTATGTCTTTCTCTCACTGGCACCCCTACTCAATTGTGTGGTCTGCAAACTCCCATGGCCAATTTCTATCCCCTTAAAAATATTGGGCTAGAGCTTCCACAGATTATAGCTCCTTTTTAGTGTTCTATGTTTGAGATGTTACCTAGACCCTGTCCCAAAATGGTTGCAATGAGTGAGCATTCCTGATGTTAGTGAGTAGGATCTCCTGGCTTGTAAGCCAACACCATTCCTCTTCTCCCCCACTTCTGGACTCACCCTGACTGTCTAGTACCTCAGCTGCCATTAAGGGTTCTGAGACTTGGTCTGTATTTGTTTTTCTTGTTATTCAGTGAGTTAGTTGTTGGGAGAATAAGTGGGAATATCCACTCACTACACCATCTTGCCTTGTCTCTCTGGAGTGTTTTTTGACACATAATAATAATATACAATGACTTGAGTCTCCTGCATTTGATGAAAATGTTTGATTTAATTAAACAATGACTGCTGAGAGCAAAATCCACTGCAGCTGTAATATAAATGCAAGTCATTAATGCCATTGTTATGTAGTACTTGCTTAATTAGATCATATTCAAATCTCTGAAAATCCAGTCTTTAGCCCATTTCAGAATATATTCCCCTCCATAAGTCTTGCCTCCTCAAAACGCCTTGTGAAAAAGATATTGATGGGTTTATGGGAAAAGCAATATTGGCCCATGTATGTGCATTGTTGCTAGGTGCTACTGAGTCGTTTCCAACTCATAGCAACCTAGAAACAAAAGAACAATACACCACTGGTCCTGTGCCATCCTCACAATTGTTTCTATGCTTGAGTCCATTCTTGAAGCCACTGTGTCAATCCATCTAACTGAGGGTCTTCCTCTTTTTCACTGATCCTGTACTTTACCAAGCATGATGTACTCCTCCAGAGACTGGTCCATCTGATAATTATGTACAAAATATATAAGATGAAATCTTTTCATCCTCACTTCTAAGGAGCATTCTGGCTATACTTCGTCCAAAACAGATTAAATCATTCTTATGGTAGTCTATGGTATATTCAATATTCTTCAACAATACCATAATTTAAAGGCATCAATTCTTCTTCAGTCTTTCTTGTGTTTGTTCAGCTTTTGCATACATATGAGGTGACTGAAAATACCATGGTTTGGGTCAGGTGCCCTGTAGTGTGAACTTTACTATATGTAAGCAGAAAACAAGACTACCTGTATAGTAGGCTTGGGCGATCTCCTTCATCTGCCTGCTTGTTCTAGTGGTTAGAATTTCAATCAATGCAGCTTCATTTGTTCCAATTCCCTAAAAAAGGAAAACGAAATCTAATTTTTAGACCACTTAAAAAATTTTAATTTCATGCATTCATTCATACTATTTTGCTTAATAGGAATAAAAAAGTTTTAAGTTAATTGATATAAAATCCAAAGTTGCTCTAAAATAATTTTCAAATTTTCCATAATATTTTAGTATTAAAATTACATGAATCACAAAATGGTACAACCACTGTGGAGAACAGTTGGATGGTTCCTCAAAAAGTTAATCACAGAATTAACATATGACCCAGCAACTGTACTCCTATGTATATAAGAAAGAAACTTGAAAGCAGTGACTCAGATACATGTAACACCAATGTTGTTTGCAGTATCACCTATAATAGCCAAAAGATAGAAACAACTTAACACCTCATGGGATTTGGTTCCTTGGTTTGGAGGGTTAGGGTCATTGTTTCATGAGACATCCTAGCTAATTGAGCTAATAATGTGTTCAGTGCTTCTGTTTTACCTCCCAGTTCATTACATAATGCCTAGAGTCTTAAATGCTTGCAAGCAGCCATCCAAGGCACAACAATTGATATTCACTTGAAGCAACAAAGGAAGAAGGAGAATCAGGAATAGGAAGAGGAAATTGATATGTGGCTAACTGCATCTATGAACAACTGGCTCCATTGCCACGAGACCAGAAGAACTGGATGGTGCCTGAATATTTTGATCAAAGATTCTATAGTAAAATCCTGATCCATGGGGGGGAGGGTGGTGAGGCAGAACTGAATTTAAAATTTCATGGACTCTAGACTTTCTGGAGCCATGGAGGGTAGATGAACTACCCTATGGAGGGTAGATGCTGACTATCACCCTGAGATAATCTTTAAACCTGAAACCAAAAATACCTCCTGAAGTCTTCTTAAAACCAAACAACAGTTTATTGTAAGTGGTAAAGAATGTCTGCTTTGAGCATTAGTCTCTTTTAAGATCTCTCCATATGGAATCAAACTGACAACAACAAAAAGATTAGATAGGAACATTAGGGGGCTGGGAGTTTATGTTAATGGAGAAGGAACAACTCAGAAAAGGGGGGTGAGAATGGTTGTACAACTTGAGGAATGAAATGAATGTCATTGAATTGTACACGTAGAAATTGTTGAACTGGTGTATGTTCTGCTGTGTATATTCTCAACAACAAATAAAATTTTTTTAAAAGATGAAAACAACCTAAATGCCCATCAACAGATAAACTGATTTTAAAAATATGGAATATACATACAGTGGACTACTAGTCATACAGAGAAATGACACTCCGATACATGCTCTAACATGGATAAATCTAGAAAACATGCTAAGTAAACTAAATCATTTACAATAGGGTAAATATTGTATGATCCTATTTATATGAAGTATGATCCCATTTATATGAAGTAAGCAAATGTGTAGACACCAAAGTTTATAAGTCTTTGGTGTGAGGGAGGAAGAAAAGGAATTATTTCTTAGGGAGCACTTAGTTTCAATTAGTGGTAACAGAAATAACATGATGAATACAATCAATGTAATTAAACTGTACATGTAGAAATTACTGAATTGGAAGATGTTTTGTTATACTATACATATATACATATATATCACAAAATATATATATAAATCATCTATAGTTGCTCTTGTGGCATAGTGCCTAAGGCATTTGACTGCTAACCAGAAGGCTGGCAGTTCAAACCCACCAGGCACTCCTCAGAAGGAAGATTGATCAATCTACTTCTGTAGAGATACCACCTAAGAAACCTACGAGGGGTCACTATGAGTCAGATTCGATTTGATGGCAGTGAGTTGAGTTTTGGTTTATAGTTAATTGAAATAAAAATTTTCAAGTAAATGTCCTAATTAATTCCTATGCTCAAGTGTAACAATAATTGAATAACTTTTCAAAAAAATATTATAAAGGAAAAAACTATGTCATCAAGGATAGAAATGTTGTTGTTGTTACGTGCCATCGAGTCAGACCCGACTCATAACGACCCCTCCTTGGGTTTCCGAGGCAGTATCACTACGGAAGTAGATTGCCCCATCTTCCTTCTAATAGTATTAACTCTACTGAGCATTCAAACACACCACTGTATTTAGAAAGGGGTCTACAATTCTTTCAAATTTTATCCTTCCACCACTGCACTGATTTGGTCAGTATTGTGTCATTGTCTTGACATAGGGAGATTTTCAAAGACTTAATAATGTGTATTATTGGGCCCAGCTGACTTGGGGACAAGTTACCCTTGAACCTTTGTTTATGTTGAGGTCACCGAATTACACTGTCACTCCAGGAGAAATCATTTACATGAGGACTTGATTGAATAAGGCCAGTGAAACATTTAAACCAAGGTTGAATTCTGTCTTGTGGCAGAGATTCCAAGCTGCCCCCAATATATCTTTAGTCTTTCTTGCTTACTAACAGAATACCCAATCTTTAACTTGGCACATGGCTTCCCAAGTAAAGTATGTATTTCTCAGTTTCTTTTAGAGCTAAGTTCAGCCATATAACTAAATTCTAGACAGTAGGATATATGCAGAAATATCATGTGTAACTTCTGGGAGTGTCTTAAAAAGAGAAAGGGTAGACCCTTCTGTTTTGGTTACCTAGTGTTGGTTTGACAAGAACGTACCACAAATGAGATGGCCTTAACAAACAGGAGTTTATTCTCTCACAATTTGGAGGCTTTAAGTCCAAGTTCAATGTGCCAGGCTCTAGGGGCTGTGTGAAAGCCCCTCAACCTTGGGCTTCAGCTCTGCCTCTTGTTCTCGGCCCACTGAAGCTAGAGGCATCTCTTTACTCAGGCAGCTACTGGCTGCTGAGGCTGCCAAGCCCAAGGTCGACAAATAAAGTGGCACAGTCCCAATGTTACCAAACCACACAGCAGGACATTAATTCAAGTCCATTGTAAATCCCAAGGTCAGCAGAGCATGGCAGGCTGCTGAGCAACGACATGGCTACATGCAGGGTCCAAATATGCCATAAGATAGAGACCATTCCCAAAGCTGCTGCTTATATACAGGAAGCAGACCATATACCCAAAGCAGCCATTCAGCTGCTCACAGTAGATTCCACCATGGAGTTGATTACCAGTCTCATCATGGGGAATACTACATCCAGCTGCTCAGCCACACAACCAGGCCCAGCCAAGTTGACACACAAACTGAACAACCACAGCTTCTTTGTCCCTTAATCCTTAAAACTGACTGAAATGAAGATATAATGGCTGGAGCTGGAGCCACCTTTCACCAAGAAGTAGAAACATAGGCTGAAAATGGCAGAGCAGTAAGATGAAGGCACCTGAGTCCCTGAATATTGTAGTCCCACCACACCCAGCTCTGAACTGCTTTTTTGGATTTCTTTTGTGTAAAACAGAATTTTTTCTCAGCCTTGCAGGTGAATCAAATCCTTACCATTAACCTTGCCATTAACACCTGTTTAACTTTCTGCCTTTGGGGTGGTCATAGAAGTGCACTGGTCAGATCTCCAGTTGTGAAAATATGCTGCAAAAAATTTAGTTGGCCAATAGCCTCCAATTGTCATACATCTGAATCTATCATCTTACTAATATCATGCAATCTCCAGGTTGTTCCAGGTAATGACAAGCACAATAGAGATATTGGAGCTGGGCTGTTTCTGTCCAACATAGGGCTCTTCCAAAGAACAATCTTTGCTCAGGGGCTCCTTCATGAGCCTGCCAAGACTATCTCAGAGCTGTGCTCTAGATTGAGGCTCTTCCTTTCCTCATCTACTTCCTTCTCTCTTTCCTTTCACAGATGTCAGACCTGCAAGAGAGTCTGAAGGCTCACCCTACTTACCCTGCTTCCTATCCCCTTTATCTTTCATAAGCATTTAACACAATAAACATCCTGTCCATCTAATTCTACATTGTATCTGCTTCTTGGACAATCCAGTATATCCATATCTCTTCCATAGAAAAGTATTCCCACCCCTGATGTGTTTAAGCCTCATGCCTAGACTTTCTTCTTTCCTTTCTTTCTTTAGCAAATATTTACTGAGCATCTACTTCACCCAGACCCTGCTGCAGGGACAGAGAATACAGAACAAGACTGAGGAGGTTGGTTCCCTGCTATAATGGTGGTACCCTTTAACTGGATGAAACTAAACAAGATAATTTAAATAATAATAAGTGCAATTAAGAAAATAAAACTGAGTGAATTGATAGAAAACGTTTGGGAGAAAAGCATCCCAGACAGAAGGAACATAACATAAAACCCCAAGAAGGGAATAAGCTTAGAATGTTCAAGGATCAGAGAGAAAGTCAGTATGGCTATAGTACTGAAGATGGAGGGAAGAGGGAACTAAAAAAAAAAAAAAAAAGAATAGTCTGTAAATTGTAGCACAAATCGTAAAATGAAAAAAAAAAAAAAAAGTCAGAGAGATAGGCAATATCTGACTGTGTTGGGTGATAAAGGCCATAACAAAGAATTTGGATTTTAAGTGTTCAAAGTCACTGGAGATTTATGCAAGTGAACAGCATAATCTGATGTACATGTAATAATAATAATTTTAAAAATGGCTATTCTGTGAAGAATAGATTAGAGGTAGGCAAAAATGAAGGCAAAGAGATCAGTTAGGAGGCTACTGAAATAGTCCAGTCAAAAGGTGATGGTGCATGGCCTAGAATGGTAGCAACAGATTTTGAGATAAATGAACACATTTGGGATAGATTTGCAAGCAGAGCTAATGGACTGCCTGAGATTTTAAAGATCAAGCAGAGCCAGAGGTTAAAGATAAAAGTTAAGTTTTTGGCCTAAGTAATAGGGTTGATGATGATGTCATTTACTTTTAATGACAACTAACTAGAAAACTGGACTCTGTGCAGCAAAAACAAACAAAATAAGGATATATCAGAATTCTTTTGACCCAGGAAGAGTTGGGCTCAAAGTTCCATGATTGCTCCCTATTTCAGTCATTCCAATAGGAAAGCACAGAATCAAAATGCCATCTGTGTCTACCATATTCACACCACAGCTAAGTATGTACTGTAAGAGAGTTACTATTTTTGAAGACATAGTTAAATCCTGGGCAGAAGAGGCTTGGGTAGAACTCATACCTTCATGGATTTCTTCAGCTGCTTTGCATCAAACACTGCTGGTGGAGTCACGAGGGCCACCATGACACTCTCAAAGTTGCCAGAAAGATCATCCTTCAAGTCATCTTTCAGCTCCTAAAATAAAATGTCCCAAAGAGGAAAGACTGAAACACCTTTCATTTCTTTCTCTAAGGTTACCTAGTGAGAGATGAACATATGTATCAGATCAGATGAAAGCATACCCATCCACTGGGAATAAACAGAAATGTCAAAGATATCTTAATGGATATTAATGTGCATTTTATGATTGTTTCCAAAATGTTCTGTTTTATGAAAAGCTTTTTGCAGGAAAGCTGAAGGAAGGAACCACATGCACGTCACAGTGGTTGTTAGCCCTACTAAGTGACTCATGGAAACCCCACTGGAAACAAAATGCTGTCTGGTCTGGTGCCATTCCCGTGATCAGCTGCACACAGGATCTTTGTGATCCATAGGTTGTCACTGGCTGATTATCAGAGGGAGATCACCAGGCTTTTCTTCCTAGTCCATCTTAGTCTGGAAGCTCCAGAATTGGGTTCATATGCAGGTCCCTATGACCTAAATGCTCTCAATATTTGTGTTGGGTGAGGGAAGAACAGGATGGGTCCTCCTAAATGCACAGCCACCTTCACTGGTAGGTGCCCTATTCCTGGGTACCTTCCTTCTCAGTGACTGTCAAAGAGCTCAAGAGAAAAAAGAGAAGGGAGAATAGTAGTTGGTCACTAGCCTCTGTGAGAACATGGAGCTAGAGGGACACAGAAGCGTTTTTCTAGCAACAGCAGTAAAGGAATTCCTAAGTACAGCAATGAGGTGGACATTACTTATTGATATTGTACTTCAGCACTGTTTTAACACAGTATGTAAGTCTGGTCCATCTCTTCTGCTTCAAAACAGGTAATAAGGTTTCTATTTCCAATGTTCATAGGAATGTTACAGAATGCTTCCCAACCTGCTCCTCAAACAGAGACTGGAAGCTTTCCACATTGCCACAACACTGTGGGTACAGACCAACACTTACTGCACTGCTGGGAGCACAGAAACAAATGGGATGGAGCCAAGTGTCCGCAGCTCTGCTTTCATCACCATGGGGTGTTTTCTTTTCTAAATGTTGAATTCCGTGACCATCTGTCCTCAAACCATGACTTTCCAACTGAACTTAATTTCACAAGCTCTCATTGTATCCCGCTGTGAGAAATGGTCACTTCCCTTAGCCCTCATCCTCCTCCATACTTTGGAAATTCTGAGTGGTCGGTGGATCATTCATGATCCCTACATACAAATGTGTTGCCTTGCCCAGAAGCATGACAATTCATTTAATTCATCAGGAAACCTGTTCTGTGCTAGGCATTTAAAGATGAGTTTGACACAATCCTTGCCCCTAGGACATTATGCCCTAATGAGAAAAACAAACATACCTAAAGATAAAATCTCAACAGAATATGTTAAGTATCTGATGGAAGGAACATAGAGAGGGGTGACCTAATGGCATCTAGGGGCTGGGAGAATACTTTCAGGAGATGATACCTGAGCTGCCTAAGGAAGGTCCTCTCCACCACCCATAATCTGACTGGCCTTTGTTTCCACTCTTTCCTCTCTTCAGTTCATTAGCCACAGCAGCCAGAGTAACCCTTTTAAAGATATAAAGTGGATTTTATTATTCCCCTGCTTATCACTCTCCCATGGCTCCTTATACTGGTACAGAGTTTAGGTTTTATTCTAAAATCCTTAGAATAAAACCTAAACTCTGTACCAGTACCCCAAGATCCAGCATGTTCTAAATCTCTCTTCAGCTTTATCTCCTCCCTCTGGTTTCCTTTCTCTTCCCTCTTGTGATATCGGAATTCCTTCTGCTTCTCAAATATTCTGAGCTTGTTTCTGCCTCTGGGTTTTTGCATTTGCTGTACTTTCTGCCTGAAATGCCTGAGTATTACTCAGTCTTAGTTGTCTTAGTTGACAGGAAAGCAACCACCCCTCACAGTCACATATCTTTACCACTCTATCAAGTGGAGCCATTCTCCATCACATCACTCTATTTTAACTTATTCATAGCATTTACCAATATCTAAATTTATTTACTTGTTTTATTATATTTCTAATAGAATGTTAGCTCCATGAAAGAAGGAAATATTTATTTTTATACCATTGTACCCCAGTGTCTAGGATACCTTCTGACACTGTTGTACTCTTTTTGGGTGTTTGTTTTTTTTTTTTTAATTGTGATTTGGATGAAAATTTACAGAACAGATTCACTTTCCGTACAGCAGTTCACATACACTTTGTCTCATGACATTGACCACAATTTATATGTAACAGCTTCCCTCCCACTTTCTCCCAATAATTATCTCTTCCCTGTGTCCATCCCTCCATGTACTCCTGCCCCCTGACCTGTATGCTGTGCATAAGCAGCATTTCTTTCTCCCATGATTGTTCTCTCCAAGGAGTGTATCTACCTCAGGTAAATGTTTAACTCATATGCCTGTCTTTTGCTTGGCTGGAAGCCACAGGCGTGGGTTCAGTTCCAGACCTGAAGGGCAGCTAGGGGCCATAGTCTCAGTGGTTCCACCAGGCTCTATCGGACCAGCAAACCTGGTCCCCCCTATTTTTGGGTGCTTTTGAGTTGACTTTGACTCACAGTGACCCTATATGACAGGGTAGAATTGTCCTATAGGATTTCCTAGGCTATAATTTTTATGGTAGCCAATTGCCAGGTCTTTCCTACTGGGGAGCCACTAGTACATTCAAACTGCTAAGCTTTTGGTTGGCAGCCAAGCATTTAACCATTGCACTACCAGTGCTCCTTCCTGACTTTGTAGCACCCAACAAACGTGTCGAATAAATAAACTGTGTGTGTGGCAAGGCCCAAGTCTAACTCATTCTTACAGAGTTAGCTTCTTGCACTTAATGAACTTTGATTTGCTGAATGAATTAAACTTATACAAACATTTTAAATCTGGAACAGATATTGAAGATCGTTTAAGATAGAGTTTGTCAGCTTTAGCATTGTTAACATTAGGGCCAGATACCTGCTTGTTGTGGGGTGCTGTCCTGTGGGTTATAGAAACTTCAGCAGCATCCTTGGCCTAGATGACAAAAGCACTTTCCTCCCCTCCTCCAGACATTGCCAAATGTCCCCAGGGGAAAGAAATCACCCTCAATTTGGAAACAATCATCTAAGGCAACTTTCCTTATTTCATAGGTGAAGAAATTGAGGCCCAGGAAGTTCAAGTAACATGCCCAAGGTCACTCAGCCTATTAAGATCAGACCAAGACATGGATTCCAGGCTGCTGAGTGGATACACAGGGTACTTTCTGTTACACTAGGCTTGAAACAAAAGATCTGTGGGCATAAGCACATGGGAGCATCCCTGATATGTGAGCGATGATGATCTCTTTACTGGCCGTTGTGTTACTCAAATTGTACCTTTCCATAAGCTGCTTGATATTCCTTCACAATCAGCTGCCTCTGTGCGTTCGACCTCTCCGTCAGAATGCTGATGAGTGCTTTCTCATCGGTTCCTAAATGAAACAAAAATAATTTTAATCTCAACCTGGAAATGCTCAATAACTGCCTTAAACAAAAGAAAAGTGATAAATTGGCTGAAATAAATGCAGAGAGTAAGGCATTTTAATTTAAATTTCCAGGTTCTTACCATGTTGGACTCCTTATTTCTTTGAGATTATTTTTATTTTATTTTTTGCTTGCATCTTGAAAAGGAAAATTAACTTTATTTGGATAGTTTTGGTAGAAGAAAACAATCATAACAGTCCTATCTGTAGATCAAATAGAAAGTATAGCATAAAGAATTTATTGCTTTTTCACCCTAATGAGGCTGTTACTATTTTATCACCTTTTCTCTTAGTCCCATCCTTGATATCAAAATATATTTTTTTTCTCTAGAGAAAAGAAAGACATTTATTGAGAACCTATAAAGTACCAACTCAAAAGCAAATTCACTGCCATCAAATAGATTCCAACTCATAGTGACCCCACTGGGTTTCCAAGGTAGTAAATCTTTATGGAAGTAGATCGTCCCATCTTCCTTCTGTGGAACAGCTTGTGGGTTTGAGTCACAAGCTCAAACCTTCTGGTTAGCAGTCAAATGTCCTAGGCACCGCGTCACCAAAGCCCCTTTACCATACCATGTACCAGCCAGCTTTTTATTCACTGTCAAGTTAACATTCATAGAAGCATTGTGCAAAATGACTAAGTTATCCTAAAGATGAAGACATTAATACTTAGGGAACTTATCTGATTTCTCAAAGTCACACAGTTTTTAAGTGCAACAGCAAGACTTTCAATTCTAATTGCTTTGATACCAAAACATAGATTTCTATCTCTGGTGCATACCTCTCATGCATTCCAGACCCATATACTTACCTAGCTATTCATACGTAAAGGCTAACGTCAGGCCAAGACTGATGCTGGCCTGCCTGAGAATGACCTCAAGGTCATTGTTCTTTTGGTAATTACAGTGTTCAGATAAATGTGGAAAACTGTGTTCACCTCCTTTGTTGGAGACGACTAGCCCTGAGTTGGGGAGCTGTGAGTTGTCTTGCCTTGGTTCTACATGACTGGAACAGCATAAAAGATAAACAAGTCTGTCACTTCTCTGTGAACCATATACATATTGGCTACACAAGTCACATCAGTGATGGGAATAAAGAAGCTGCATATTTGGGTTGCTGCTGGTCTCCCAGTGAAATATGCTTGCCCTCTGTATGCCCTGTCTTGTAACCTTCTATAAAGCTAAGTAAACATAGGATTAGATTAAAGCCCATATGTGCTTTATGAGTCTAATTGCCCATGTGGACCTGAAATAATTTGTGTTGCTGCTACCAAACCAACCAAACCCAACCCATTGCCACTGAGTTGATTCTGACTCATACATAGCAACCATATAGGACAGAGTAGAACTGTCCCACAGTTCCAAGCCTGTAATCTTTATGGAAGTAGACTGTCACATTTTTATCCTGCAGAGCATCTGGTAGGTTTGAACAGCTGACCTTTTGGTTAGCAGCCGAATGTTTTAACCAATGTACCACTAGGTGGGTTTGAACAGCTGACCTTTTCGTTAGCAGCTGAGTGCTTTAACCAATGTACCATTAGGATTTCTTAATGTACTTATAGACATCTTCAGGTGCATAACTATCTCAAAGTAGGGAAGTTTAAAGTTGAATTGATTGTGTTTCCTCTCAGAACTTGTCCTTGATTGTATCCTCATCATGACATCATTAGTCATCGTAGCAAAAATCCTGGGACCCAACTTTTACTCCTTTCTCTTACTTATTTCTTACACCCTAGTCATCACAGGCATCTCTTGAATTTATCCCCTCTGCATGCTCTCAGAAGAGCATAAGGAATGAGGGATATTATTGCTGATGTCAGATGGATTTTGGCTGAAAGCAAAGAATAGCAGATTGATGTTTACCTATGTCTTACTAACTATACAAAGGCATTCAATTGTGTGGATCATAAATTATGGATAATATTGCAAGGAATAGGAGTTTCACACTTAATTATGCTCATGGGGAATCTGTACATAGACCAAAAGGCTATAGTTTAAACAGAACAAGAAAATACTGTGTGGTTTAAAATCAGGAACAGTGTACATCAGGGTTGTATCCTTTCACTATGCTTATTCAATTTGTATGCTAAGCAAATAATCTGAGAAGCTGGACTATGTGAAGAAGAACGTGGCATCAGGATTGGAGGAAGAGTCATTAACAATCTGCAATATGCAGATGACATAATCTTACTTGCTAAAAGTGAAGATGACTTGAAGCACTTACTGAAGATCAAAGACTACAACCTTTAATACGAGTTGCACCTCAACATAAAGAACACGAAAATCTCCACAATTGGACCAATAAGCAATGTAATGATAAATGGAGAAAAGACTGAAGTTGTTAAGGATTTCATTTCACTTGCATCCATAATCAACACTCATGGAAGCAGTAGTCAAGAAATCAGAGCTCGTACTACACTGGGCAAATGTACTGTGAGAGCCCTCTTTAAAGTGTTAAAGAGCAAAGATGACAATTTGAAGACTAAGGTGTACCTAACCCAAGCCAGGGTATTTTCAGTAGCCTCATATGCATGTGAAAGCTGGACAATGTATAAGGAAGACGGAAGAAAAGTCAATGCCTTTGAATTGTGATGCTGGCAAAGAATATCGAAAATACTGTAGTAGGACAGAAGGATGAACAAATCTGTCCTGGAAGAAGTGCAGCTGGAAGCAAGTACATTCTTGGAAGCAAGAATTACCAGACTTTGTCTCACATACTTTTGTCAGAAGGGACCATTTCCTGGAGAAGGATGACATGCTAGGTAAAGCAGAGGGTCCGTGAAAAAGGGGAAGATTCTCAATGAGATGGATTGACACAGTGGCTGCAATGATGGGCTCAAGCATAGCAAGGATTGTGAGGATGGTGCACGACTGGGCAGTGTTTCCTTCTGTTGTACCTAGGGTCCCTGTGAGTTGGAGCAGACTTGATAGAACCCTAACAAAAAATATACCCTCTGTGCTGTGGTTGGGTGTAGCCTTCATCACATTTTCCCTAGATAACCTAAATAGTCTCCTAACTTACTACACCTTATAGTTTATCCTACATACTACTTCCTAAGAATAATTTTTTAAAAATGCAAATTTGATCATGCCACTCTGCTGGTTAAAACCCTTAACGGTTCTTTGTAACCTTCAGGAAGATAATGATAACCCTTAGCTCATAGACCAACCTGCTATGCTCTATTCTTGCTTTATGTCTCTGTTCTCACTTTCCACCACTTCTCTGCAGTTCTATACTTTATAAATCTACATTCAAGATATGCCTAACTACTTGTAGTTGTGTATATTTTTTATGTCTGGTAGTTTCTCACCTGTTATTTTTGAACATGTTCAAACCAGTAACTAAACTAATCTGCCTGATGGTTCAGAGACTGGATCTAGAACACATGCTCTTATAAAAGCTGGTTCTGGACAGAGAAAGAGAGGGAGAGAGAGAGTGTGTGTGTGTGTATAGGAGGGGTGCTCACAAATTTTAAAAAATGTCTTCTCAAAGTGGGCTTGCAAGGCAAAATGAAAAATTTGTGAAGAAATATTATGTTAAGACAAGCAAAAATATGTAAAGACCATTAATGTATCCCATTTGGCATTAACCTCATGAAATAATCTGAAAAAGACTATACAACATTAGGTATAAATAGGACAATCAAAGAGATAAATGAAACTTTCATTTTAAAGCAGGAAATAAAAACCACAAAAACAGGTAGAAATAAGATAGTATTACACTGGTATAAAATAATAATAATGTATTTATTGCATTTGATAATTTGATTCTAAAATTCACATGAGAAGGCAAAGAGCCAAGAAAAGTCCTTACTCTACTAGATATTGTCACTATACAATTATAATAAGTATTATAATAATTATTAATGTGATGTTGACATGTTGATGTTGTTGGGTGCCATGGAGTCAATTCTGATTCACAGTGATCATATATGAGAGAATAGAACTGCCCACCTAAGGCATATGATTGCTAACCAGAAGGCTGGCGGTTCAAACCCACCAGCCACTCCTTGGAAGGAAGGTTGGGCAATCTATCTCTGTAGTGATACTGCCTTGGAAACCCAAGGAAGGGTTGCTATGAGTTGGAAACAACTAGATGGCAGTTAGTTTGTTTGTTTTTTTAATAGGGTTCTCTTGGCTATAATCTTTATGGACATGGATCACCAAGTTTTTCTCTCATGGAGTTCCTGGGTGGGTTCAAACCACCAACATTTCCATTAGCAGCTGAGTGCTTAACCACTGTGTCACCAGGGCTCCTTGGTATATCAGCATAGGAAGAAGCAAATACACCAATGGAACATAACAGACAGCAACTAAATAAAGGAACTTGACATAAAACAAAGTGTGACATTAAAAATCAGTATTGACCAAGCAGACATCTAAGATGCAACAATTGGTCTCTCCTCACCTGGAAAGAAGAAGAAAGAAGAAAATCAAAGACACTTGGAAACAATTAGTCCAAGGGACTAGTAGACCATGTGAACCTCAGCCTACATGACCATGAGATCAAAAGAACTAGATGGTACCTGGCTACTACTGTCAACCACTCAGAAAGGGATCAGGGTAGGAGTTCCTGGTTAGAGTGGGAGAAAAATGTGGAACAAAACTCAAAATGATAAAAAAGATTAGGATTAATAGTCTACTAGAGGCTAGTGGAACCTCCAAGATTATGGCCCCTAGTCACCCTTCCAGCCTGGAATTGAACTCATTCCCATGGCATCCAGCCAAACAATGGACAGGCATATAATGTGAACATTTACACCAGGTAGGTACACTCCCTAGAACAATCAACCATGGGAGGTCAGAAGGGCAGTGTTTACACAGGGAGATAGTTCACAGGGCAAGAATGTATAGGAAAGAAGGACAGAGGGAAAAGGTCACCACAAGGAAGTGGGAAGAAAGTTGTTACATGATGGGGACTGCAATCAATGTTATGAAATGAAATGTATA